GCCCGACCCTTTTTTCCCAGATGTGAGGTATGTAACAAATGTAACCTTTCTCTCATTAGCTCTATGCCTCCTGGAGGTTCGGTAGGACTTTCTCTATACTTAAAGATGATTTAAATAAGTTATCCGCCGAAACATGATTGAAATATTGCGGACAAGGAGATAAACATCAATCAATCAATTAAATATAAATCAAAATTTACAGAAAATGATACATGCAAGGATTAAGAATTTACAGATCATTTGAAAGTAAAATTATTATAAAAAACTGAAGCATTGTTCTTTCGTGTGAAAAGAAAGGTTATATAGTATATAATATAGTAAGGTTCTCTAGAATGAAAGTCTAGAACTTTTTAATGGAGTGTTGACTCATTAAAACTTTTATTGGATGGCACAGTATCTGCCATTTGAAGCAAAATTCTGATTATCAACATAATTTTCTTTCTGGCTCAGAGTAGAAGGCCCATGCCCCCTCATCATGCAGTTTAGATATACCGTATTATAAAGTTAAACTCCTTCTTTTTGGGAATTCGAAATATTCTGGTTTTTAAACAGACAAATTTCCAGAGGTAAAGAGAAAAAATAAGCTATTTAGGGACCAAGGGTCTTCCTAATTCTCGAGGTTTTATCATGGATGTACCAAAAAGGGTATTAAGGTTCATACTGTGCAAAGTCCAACGATTTTTCCACTAACAATATTAAATATTCAGTAAAAGTAATATCATTTAACATAAGTAATGATTATCGTCTTTGCGGTTAAATTTTATGTCCGTACTTTTATCGAAAAATAAATGAAGCTAGTTTTTGTTGCCAACGGACTAGTACTCATTTCATTGCATAACAGGACAGTATTATTGTTTTTGCAAGAATAGGAAGTTCTGGCTACCATCGGCCTAGTCTTGGGACTGATAAATTACCCGTACTTTCTAGCAAGATATCTGTTAAAGAAATACGCAAATCAAACAATGAAGATGATATAAAAATGAAATAAGTTGTAGAAAAAAGAACGAATTTCAAATAAAGTGTCAAAATGTTGTTTTTTTTATCAGCAAAATGCTATATTTTTGTAATACTAGAAAGAAAATCTTTTCAGACATCCTGGTCAATTTAGATAACACGTATTTTCACTGGACTACCAGCTGCTTGAAATAAATAAGAAGAAACAAGTTTATATCACAACCACCGCGGTGATATTAGATAAGACATCTTGGCAATATCTGGGATTTTAAAAAAGTTATAAATTATTGTAGAGATTTTTTGCCTTCCCTTTTTGTACGTATCTCCTATACATAAATCGCGTAGTGTTTGGAGTAGAGGTTTAATTGTTATTGTCATAAGCCAGACCCTTTTTCCCAGATGTGAGGTATGTAACAAATGTAACCCTTCTCTCATTAGCTCTATGCCTCCTGGTGGTTCAACTGGACTTTCTCTATACTTAAAGGTAAGGCTTTTAAAGATCCCCCGTAAATAAAATGATAAAGCATTCGAAATCAACCCGGATGGTTGAAGTCTCTTTAAATTTATGATTAGTAAATAACATTTCGATTGTATTTATCGCCTAGTTTTCACCTAAATGTCTTAGAGATGTAAAACTTTTCCTACGATTATCTAATACAGGACTGGTATTTATTTTCTGAAAAGAATTTTCTATTTTCGATTTATAGATATATTCTATTTGATGTTCATTGTGAAGAACTACTTAGATCTTAGATTCCATAGAAACCAATAATAATAAAAAATTCTGAATAATTTTCCTGACCCCTGGGTATATACTTGCATACTGACCGTTAATTAAAGATAAATAAACCCTCTCTTATTGTATAGATCAAGTTAATCATAATGAGCTACCCATCAGTCTGTTTATTGTAACATCTGCCTCTGACCGGCTGACAGCTCTTCACCGTATAGACAACTATAGAACGTACACATAAATAAGTTAATATATACGAGGAAGATAAAAATGTTCCAATTTAGATACACTGTTAGTAAATAGGGGATATCTCTGAAGATGATGTCTTCATTTTATGTGAAAAAATGTCTGGGTCAATATTTAAAGGTGTTTAAGGAAATATTCCGGCTCAAAAAAAAAAAAGAGTCAATAATTTATTTCAATTACCGGGTTACCTTGTGAATAAAATTATTTATTATATGATTGAATAATTTCAATCTCTCTGATTGGCTGAGATCCAACTATGTTAGAAAAATATTACGTTGTATTGACCTGCACGTGACGTTCCAGGTCAATACAAGGATTTATTTCCTCTACATTTACCTAAAAATAGATTCGGAAATTCCAAATTGATATAAATTGTTTTAAAAAGCTATTTAAAAGCTATTTAAACGACTATGATTTTTATTTTCATGTGAAAAAACAGCAAATATATATTTTGGGTGAGGAGGTAAGAGGGGATGCAGGGACACACATCCCCCTCCAACACTTTTTCTGAACAACATTTTTTTTTAAAACTTTTTGGTAGTCAGTTTTTCCTAATAAAACTCATTCCATTCAAAATCTATTCCATAAAAAAGACTGACAATATATATTTCTCTCATGGCATTTTTTTTTTTACAAAAATTGATTTTAAAAAACATTTCAAATTGATACGACTGGTAAGGTTTATTCACATTTAGATTCTGCTACTCTCTTGTATTTGGCTAGGGCTTAATAAAATGCAAGCAAGTAATTAGCTGTATCATTTCATCAGTGAATCATATAATAAAACAATTATTGCTGTTTTTTTCTGTCAATACAATGATTTAGCCATCTTCGCAGTACAATATTCACCTCGCCCTTTGGGCTCGGTGAATATTGTACTCCTCAGATGGCTAAATTATTGTACTGACCTCAAAAAACAGCAATAATTGTATATTAGTTATCAATATGCTAAAAGGACAACACACTTTTCTGGTTTCACCAGATACTAAACAAAGAAAGCTAAAGAGAATCCAGCCCCTGTAATTGTGTCAAGCAGGTTCAAATAAGAATAAGATCTTGATTTTGAATACAGAGCAATAACTGATTAGATTAATTTTTTTTCCAGGACATTTATGTATAAAAAATGAGGAGTTGTGGATAAGGATAAAACATGCCCCTCCCCCAACACATCAACAATGTCCATAATTTGATATGGACCTGAAATATGTGATCAGTAAAAAAGTACAATGGGAGGGACACAATTGCATTATTTAAGATGAAAAAAAAGGTGTGTGTGTATGGAGAGGAGAAAGGTATCGCAAAGTATAAAAGACGGAAGGAAGCAGGGGATAAAAAGTAATACTGGAAAATTAATGTAAATACTACGTAACTATATTCAGCGCAACGTCTTATCAAACGAGAACATTAGAGAAAATGTTACTTCCATCTTAATCTCTGTATTATTATTAAAAGCTACATCACCGCCAACAAGATATCAGTATAGAGATATATAGAAAGGGGAAACAAACAAAGTTACTCAGTGCAATGGGTATTAAACGCGACTTTGCACGTACGTGGCGCAATGGTAATCTCTGAACGGAACACCCAATCAATCTCTGGAAGTAATATGCTAAAGATGCCTTAAGTTTATAAATGAACAACAATGGACAAACCATTATAAAGAAAAAAATTCGGCAAATACAATCTATCATTGAGTCAAATACTGAAGGATTTTTTTCATACTGATTGTTAGACCATTAAAACACACTGAATTGTTTAGGGAATTCCCCGTTTTTTCCCAACCGTGAACATGCACACGGCGCGGGATGCTCACTTCTTGATCCCACCTGATCCCACCCCCGATGTTTAGAGGTCCGTGTTTTACCCTGCTCCTGATATGTATTGTTTGCGTGTATTTTTTTTGAGCTTGAATACTCTTCGTTACCTCCATTATAGAGATCACAAAGGCTTAAAAAGCTATCAAACATTAAATGAATGGATTATATGAATTGTGCGAAACATTTTTGTCCATAACCCAAAATAAAATTGATAAATAGTAATATTTTCTTGTCTTGTTTTTCTCTGTAAAGTTCAAGTATACATTCTTTTTTTCTGTTTTAAATAAACATTGAAAATGCTTGAAATTAAGTTTATTTTCTGAAATCTTACATGCAGGGTTTCGTATAACAGTCAAGTTCTCAGGATAAACTTTAAATCATAAAATGTTTCGAAGTTAATATGTAACATTCATTTAATCTTTCCACCAAAATAACCCAAATGAAATGCGATGCTCGCTGGAATTTGATTTTCATTAAAAAGAAAGAAAGTTAAAAAATCTCTCTGCTTATTTTCAATACTTCACGTTTCTGTAACAGAAGCTTAATCTATTTTATGAAAATTTAATTAAAAATTCATTTGTAACTAGGATAAATTATCGAATCGGACAAAACAAGGTAACTGTCAGAACTTTTTATTGTTAAAAGAACAACAACAACAACAATAACAACAACAGCAACAACAACAAAAACAACCTCCAAAGCATAAGGTACAAATACACTATAGAGTATATTTGAGAAGTACATTTGTATTTCCACTTCTTCTTTTAAAAAAAAAGCGTTAGAGAGATAAGCTGTTATAGAAAGGATCATTTTAGCCATTTTGAATATTTTTTTTCTCCTTGGCATTGGCTAATAAAAAGAACTTCACAAAACGGACGACATTGAAGTGATTTTTGTCAAAAGTAAACACCCCTGTCTCACATGTTAAAAATCTCTGCAGTATGTAAACATGTTTATTTTTTATTTCCTGATCTGGCGTTAAGGTACAAAATTAGAATAGGTAAGATTATAATAGTGAGGGTAAATTCCTTCTTTCGTTATTTTTATATTTTTGAAAAATAATTTTCATATTCTGATCAATCTCATAAATCAAGGCTTGAGTAAATGCAGAAAAGCCATCAATTTGCCCTTTTCTATCAATTGATGGTCACCTAAGACGTTGAATGATTTTAAATGATCATAAGATAAGCAATATGAAATAAAACCCACAACGTTGAATTTTTACTGAATTAGTTTTGTTTATATTGCAGGAAATGACTATATATGTCATTATCAGTATGGGAATCCTCTTCCTGTTGGACAGCGCATGCGGATTGACAACCCAGTATAGTGTTATGCTCGATGCCGGAAGTTCAAGTACAAAACTCAGAGTATACTCGTGGCCCGAACGAACATCCACCTCATCAAAATTTTACATAACAGAAAAATATTACAAAAAAGTAAAACCATCGTTGAGTTCATTTCAGGATAATTTAGATTCACTCCCAGAATATATAAAGAATTTGATTTCGATTGCTGAGTCGCAAGTGCCTTCACATCGTCATAACAGGAGTAACATTTATCTCTTTGCAACTGCAGGTAGGTAATTTAAATTTAAAAAATTTCAAAATTCCTATTGAAATATTATGCTTTTTTATTCATTCATTTTTCCCCAGGGTTACGATTTGTAGAAGAAGAAAAAGCCATGAACTTAATGAACAGTGTTCGACGTGTGTTGTCCGACAAAAGAAATCATAAATTCATATATAGCGAAAGAAGCGTCCGAATTCTCTCAGGCGAAGAGGAGGGTGTGTTCGCTTGGATAACTGCTAATTACCATAATGGATTCTTATCTTCTAATCAGTAAGATGCATGTATTAAATCATTTATGCAAATAAGATTGGGATATTGTTATTATTAGGATGATTCTGTTATCAATGTTAAGGTTTGTTTACTTTTAGATCACAATCGAAAGCAGTGGGTGTCCTCGAAATGGGGGGCGGATCCACACAAATCACTTTTCTACCAGACGGACCTCTCTTGGCTCATATGTTTCCTGTTCGAATTTCTGGACGTATATTCAATCTTTATTCTCACAGTTATTTAAATTTTGGAACAAATTATATGGAAAAAAGAATAAAAGAGCATCTAATCGAACAAAACCCACACAGTATGGATATCCTAAATCCGTGTGCATTGATAAGTAAGTTTTAATCTTTAAAAATAATAGTAAAAATAACTCTTTTTGTATATCAAAAAATGCATCACACGATATGTTATGTACTTAGTATGTACCTTTCAACCACACATTTTTATTTATATATTTCAGATGACAATAACACATACCACTTTAAAGAAAAATCTGTGATATTTCAGGGATCTAGTTCCCCTTCTGAGTGCCTTAGTATCATATCAATGTTTCTAAAAGATTCTCACGACACTTGTTATCCGAAGCCGTGTGCAATAGGCTCTATCTATCAGCCTTCTACTGGTTCAGACATATTCTATGCCACTGCTAGTTTTGCCTTCATTGCCACCGATCTTAATGCAACAGATTCTTCAGGGAAGCTTAATATTGACAAACTAAACAAAACTGCATATTTATATTGCAGTGAGGTAAGTTTGCTAATACCAAATTGAAACACAATAATCATTATAAATTGATTTTCACAATACAGTTAAGATAACAACAACAGCAATTAAAAAAAAACAAAAAAAAAAAACAAAACCGACGAAGCCTAACAAAACAAAACAAAACAACAACAACAAACAAACAAAAAAAAGAAGAGGAAAAAAAAACAAAACAAAACAAAAAAAAAAAAACAAAAAAAAACGAGGAAGCCTAATCTATGCTATCATGTCATTATACTTAACCACCACTTCAAAAAAAAAAACGAACTACAATTTAAAACGATTTGCAGTTTTAAACTGTTGAAAGGCATAAAATTACATCAACGCTTACTTTACGTGCTGTTTTGTATTGTTTCCTAGATTAATCCCACATAGCTATTGGTGCCGTGACCAGAATATCATTGACAGAGCCACTATTTATTTACTGTACAATTCAAGGCCTCAGATGATACTTTGGTCATGTTGAGATTTGAGAAGCCATTAATTGCTCTCGGAAAGCTGCAAATGGGTCTTTGTTTTGAAATCTTAATCATTACTTTATTTCTTCAGAGTATAGATTATGCAGTATCCTTTTACAAAGTACGGGCAGAGTTTGCTTCTAGTACCTGCATGATGGGACTGTACATAACGGAACTTCTTACCTTTGCTTACGGGTTTCCGGTGAATACAGACAGAATATACTCTGCTCAGAAAATCAATGGAAAATCTCTAGGTAAAGGAAAAATAACTCAAAAATGTAAAACTAAAACGTATTTTACTTTTCATTTTTAGTCACTGAAAAATTTATCAATATTCCGCGCCTTCGAAACATACATTTGTATCTAAAGCATTCAATATATAATAAAAGAACTTGTACACTTAGAATAAAATGTAGTGATCCGTGTTTATATAGCAGTTAACATGTATTTCATTTATTCTATAAACTCCGACTTCTGCAAGATCAGTTGATTTAACTGATGTGTGTTTTGTTTCAGACTGGCCTTTCGGTGCAACACTATACGAGGCTGAGCTGATGGCCCGGGATTATCCCTGTCCCCCAATCTCCTCCATGATCAGTGCAGGAAATACTCTACAAGGCTACAGACTAACTCTACTGGAATTCTTCGTCTTCTTTTGTTTTTTGTCTTTCTATTTGGATATCTGATAATGTAGGGGATTCTTGGACATTTTCAACAGCAGCTATTATAGTGTCAGATGAACACAATTATCATTATGTATTGTAAATCATATATAAACTCGTTTTTAACTTGTTTATGTGATTTTTAAACAGAATTTTGAAAATATAAAATATATTTACTACAGAATTTTCTCACGTTAACATGCAAACATTAACAGTTTTGTTCTACTACTACTACTACGAGTGGCCAATCAAGTTTTCTCTATTCG